TACATATCACAGCATCCTTGAGAAAATGGGTTGAAGATCCTTGGGAAATGGGTTGAACATTACGGGAATGTCGAATGCTCCAGCAGATTTCGGCTCAAGACCTCTAGAGTGATTCCAATAATGTCAGTGGAAAGCAAGACGGGAGAGAGGAGCGTGTCCTACTGGAAAGACTGGACATAGGTACGCATACGTTTCGGCACAAGTTCCAAACGATGTGTAGTTTTGAGGGGCGTCATCTCTTTCGAATTCTCTGGGGTTATACCGAACTTGTTCTGTGTCCATCATTCAAGGTATTCAGATGCCTATCTATTCAAGTTCAAGTTTCTTAGTCAAAGTCTCTATCGATTTTCCAAAGAATTAACTTACCTGACTGAGATTCTACCCATACACACGACGGCAGTCCATTGGATTGAATGCTCCCTGTAGTTTCTCGCCAGGAACGCTGATTGGAATTGAGACTGGCGGTGGGGCTGATCCCGGAAGTAATGTTTTGTCGGGTTCAGGTTATTGGCTTCAATAGGAGAAGATGGAAATTCTGGGATAATTTAGACTGAATATGGGGCGAACAAGAGCTGGGTTTCCGTGTCTTGTTCTCTGTTTGTTGTTGGTGGGATGTTTTTCCCGTCGCGAGGAGAGAGCGAACCTCTTATAGCAGTAGCAGTAGCAGTAGCAGTAGCAGCAGCTCATCGTGCCTTCCACATGATTCCCCGGACAATTTAGAACTAGTAGTAGTATTACTAGCAGGCACCACCGGCTGCTCGTTCCTCCGAGCCACAATATAAACAAACTTAGGCAGCCACCCAGAGTTAACCGTGAGTATACCAACGTGCATAGGTCGGTGGGCCATAAATAATTCATTTTGACGAAATAAAGCAAAGAAGAAAATAGATATGAAGGGAACTATGTTCTTTGAAAAATCGGCCTCCAAAAGTGCCAATGCTTGTAAGGCCATGTGCCAGTCCAACTTCACTACCTGCAGCATTGTTTGCGGGGGATTGGTTTAGTATTGTTTAATTCTACGAATAGTAAGCGATGGGAACGAAGAAGGAAGATCTACGCAAGGTTTCACAGGGGAAAAGAATAAGAACGATTTGAGTAAGTAGCGCATTCATCGCTAATGTATAGTTTTTATTGAAACATTGGAACATGGCTCCGGGAAGAGCTTCGACTGACATAAGGCGTGGAAATTCGTGAAGCTCCGATCTTACGGAGCTCAAGCAAGCAAATTTTGTCGTTTGTCGTGTTTAGAGATGTTGCTCTAAGAGAGAAGACATGGGGGTGAGGGAGGGGGTCATTATATGGTTGGGGTTGAGGTTGCAATTGCAATTGCGACACGGTCGGAAATGGCGAGTGGTGGATTCAAGAAGAGCTCATGCGGTTAAAGAGCCTCGTCAGACGAGCCTGGAAAATCGCCGAGGCATATTAGCATGGGGAACACAGACGAAGACAAGATAGGTTCTGATCCGTTCTTTACGTACGGTATAGCTCTGAGGAGTCCCTGGTTCAGTCGCAGCTTGCGACTGGGCCTCAGATTTCTCATCGACATAACTCTCCTCATCCTCCTCGTCATATTCATCCTCATCCTCATCCTCGGACGGAGGAAAATATCTATCCGGATCACCGTTATAAACCATAAACCAGCCAATTTTCTCGCCGGGCGCTAATCGATCGCGGAGTTCCTCCAGCGCTGCTGTCTGATCGTCCGTCAAACCGGATCCTTGCTCAACGACGTCTTCAATATTCAATCCAGGGCCCGCGCCGGGCGCGGGTGCCAGACCACCGCCGTCCGGGAAAACAACGACCTTCGCGCCGACGTAGGCATGTTCCTGGCTCACGGTGTTGCTGGTCTCGTCGGCGGGATCGTACTGCTCGATGAAGCGTAGTTCAGGTAGTCGGGGGACGAGGTCGGGGGAAGTCTTGTTGAAGGATTCAGTCAAAAGCTCTGTGGTGAGTGGTTGCTGGATGTATTCGGCGGCGGCTTCTTCCAGGTTGTGGAGGACGACGTAGACTCGGATTCCCGTGAAGCCTGCACGAGGCCACCGGAACCCGTGGAGCATGTAGACCGGCATGTGTCGCGGTGTTTTGTTTGGATCGATTTGACGGAGGAGAGAGGTGGAGGGGGAGGAGGAGGAATGGAGATTCGCGGGGAATTAATGGGTAGGTTGGAGAGTCGCGCGCGAGGGAGACGATGACAGGCGCACTCCTCTCATGTTAAGAACCTGAAATTGATAGGGGACTCGGAGCTCGTGTTGTCGAGAGTGCAGTGCGCAGACGAGTGGATGCATCGGATTGGGGATTCTCAATTTCCCGGGCCTTTCCAGTTCCAACTGGGTTTAGTCCCACTTTTTAGTTTAACGGCGCGACTCAAATGAGACACGTTCATTTCAAGTGACCTGGAGTATATCGAGTATACGGGTGATTACTATAGATACCTGGTGTATATACGTCTTCTAAAATTGATTGAATTCCAAGTCCCACTATCTCCAAGTCACCTTTGACTCCAATACCCAAGTTGATATAACTTTGGTTCGATCCAGATCGCCCCTCTCTGCAAGATCGAGATCTGCCCAGATCGATCTGAGTCAAGCTTGGATCTCTTTCCCGTCCGAGTCACGGTTCCTGAGAAGCAGATACCGATAGATCCCATCAATCTGAAAAATTATCCATTGCTTGGGGAAACGCTTTGCTCGTCAATACTAGTACTACTAACATCAATTTAAAACACAACTAGCGCCAAGCCGAATGAACTACCGCCCAAGACTACTAGTATGTACATAACAGTGCGAGTGCTGGCTGAGTGCTGGCTGTCACAAGACCTTCTCCCTCGGGAAGCTGCAGCTCTAAGGCTTTCTCTTGAGATCTGCAAACCGCCGTGTCAATTCATCCAGTTCTGGTATCCCACCATTACTGCTTTTCCCCTGAGGCCTTGACCCTGCCGCAGCGGAAGCCTTCGTTGATTCATTTTCCTCTGGCCCTGGAACCTTCACTCGCGGGTTTGGATTATCAGTCCTCGGCGCCGGCGGGGCGACACTGACAGGACTCCGACCATCGGCAGGACCTCGCGGAGGCGTCGCTTTGTTAAGTTCACTGGTCTCCGAAGCGCGCCTGGCCTCGGTGGCGCTTGCACTTGGTTTTCCCGGGGTGACTGGCAAATCGCCCCCTTCATTGTCGTCGCCATCGCCTCGGGAATCATCCACGAATTCAGGCGGCGCACTTCCCAAGTCTTCCTGCATCTCTTCTTCCGGCCATGGAACACCATATGCCTTTGCAATTTCCCGGAGGTAACTCTCCACCAAATCCTGACCAGGCGGACGCACACGCAAACCCTTCAAAAGACGATCCGGAACCTTGACAGTATCCACCTTATTCTCCTGCGCCAGCGTCATAAACTCCTTCCCATACCGCTCACCCAGCATAGTCCTCAGCATAGTCAGTTCCCGAAGTTCATGCGGGAAGCGCTGCCAAGCATAGAAAACTACGGTGGCCGCCTCATCAAGCGCAGTATCCATATACGTATCGTCATCATCACTTAAGAGCCCCGCGTCATCCGCAAGACTCTCTTCCTTCTTCTGCGAGCCTCCTCCCAACCACGCGAACCCAAACCGAGACCCGGAGGATTCAACAGGCTTTGCGGCTGCCCCTCCTTGCGGCTGGGTTTGCTTTTTATAAAGTTCCTTCGCGCGCAGTCTTGCGCGGGTTCCCTTTCTCTCCGAAGGCGAGTTGGTCGAGGACGTTGGCGCGTGCTAGTAGGAGTTCACAGTACAGTTCTACCATCTCCATTACCTCGACGGCGATGTCGGTTGCGATGACATTTTCAACTCGGATGCGTGCGGAGGACTCGCGGCCTTCGCTGAGGAGTTGGGAGAGTTCGCGGCGTTGGACGACAGAGGAGGCATTGTCTTTCTTTTGTAGGAGGCGGAGGCGGGGGATGAGAAGGCGGAGGTTGGATACTAAGCGGGTCTGTTGATCCATTGAGTTAGTGCCAATACTTGAGTCTCAACCAAGGAGGTTTGTTGGGCGCAGGATTGGTGTCGCGCGCAGCATGCAGCATGATGGGGGGGAGGTTCTCGGAATCGCAGTGCGGGGTAAGCTCTAGGCAGCGAGTTCAAGTTTGCGGTGACGAGATGGATATGCCAGGGGTGATAGATGAGACAGAGTCACTATATGCAGAATTCACTCACTGTTTGGGCCGCGGGAGGCATGTTGGAGGTGTTGATGTGGTTGAACAAAGGGATGGAGAGGAGAGGTGGGGGATGCGCGGTAATCGATGGGTCCAAACAGTCCGGCCCCGGGGGGGTCCACTGGGCTGATAAAGGATTCATAGAAGACCTGCACTCGGCAATAGAATTGTGGGAAAATAAAGAATGAAACTAGGCAGCCATGAATTTTATTACTAGCACTAATCACAAACCCTGACAGTAAAAGGTATTAGTAAAATGGAATGGACTGGAAAAGCCCCCACAGCAGGTAAAATCCCAGCATAGTTCGTTGCAGCAATTTAGCCTCCACCAAGTTCCTATCATTAAAAATCTTTTAGGTTGTAACGATCTAGAAATTTCAATGTCTCCCTATAAGGCCTATTAGTGGGATGAAGTTCAAGTTGTGAGTTGAGTAAATATCGAAAGATCAGCATAGCAGAACTGATGAAGTAACTGAATTAAAGGGGGTAGTTCGAGGTGAGAAACCTCAGGAAAACCGGGCTTGCAAACAACCATATACGAGTCATAATATCAACTACTCTTCTTTTTTTTTATAAGAACGACGTCGAACTGACCTATAAGAAGCGGTATACTATACCAGACAGTGACATTGACGCCGCTCTCGAAGTGGAAGCCGCTCTCAAGGCGGCTAATAATTATGGTTTCAACTCTGATAACAAAAGATACGAAGCGCAAGTCGAATGGGGTTACAAGAAACAGACACTTTCTATTAGCCGCAAGAAAGACGTGGACTCTGAGAATAGTGGAATGGACCTGCCGGGAACTGAAAGCTCTCGCCAAATGCTGATCGACGAAGCACCAGAAAAGTTCAACAACTGGAATGGCAATAGCTGGGGCACCAACACATTAAAGGCATCGCGCATTTTTGGCCCGATTCTCACCCAGCGATTCATTGGCTCATGGAATGGGATACCCCTATACATTGAGGTCTGGCCTCTCTTGAACTCCACCCTTACGGGAACTGAGTACTTCATTGAAGCTTCTTTCAAGACGAAGAGTCGGAATACAGCCTCAGCCGAGAAGGAAAAATTGGCCGAGTTCTTGGAGAGTAAGGGTTGGTTTCTTGCACACGAGTCGCTAAAGACGCAGCTTATTATTCAGCGCTACTGAAATGTAAAGAAAAGGTACTCGGTCTCTAGGTGGTTCTTGATTTTGTGATGGAGGGCCCTGAAAAGAAAATTACAATCACCGAGAATGAATCGGAATTACAAACGCCAGGCATGGAGAATGGAGATGTGGCAAGCCAACATGTTGCAGATATATCGGCTGCCCGCGCACCTCTTGTCTCGTCCCTTTTTCCTCTCCCCATGCCTATTTATTTTGTTAAATGCTACTACGCTAATATTTTGATATTCGTTGCTTAGCGCCATTCTAAAAGAGAAAAGATAGCGGAGATCTAGTTCAAGGTGGCGGGGTCGAGCCCAGGCTGGGCTCCGGAGGCGGATCTCTTCCTGGGGCGCCAGTGTAACCGTCACCTTTATTACTAGTATAGGACCACTGGCACTTGAATGAAGGCTATTAGTACGTCCTCTTAAAAATATATTCTATGTCAGTCTATCTAAATCATTTCTGACCCTTCGCTGCCTCCTTCATCTCTCCACGCTCTTTCACTAAACCCGCCAGATTAGTCCCAACATCCGAGCCAAGGTTATTAAAGCCATGAATAACACCCTGTCGATCGCCCTCTCCCAATTCCTGACTCATTTTAAACTTGCCCCCAATACTCTCAATAGAGACCTCAATGCCAATGATATTCTTCTTCATAATATCGATATACCGTTCCGGCGCATCAGCTACCTTCCAAGGCCCAGGCTTCCCCTCTTGACCCGTATGACCCATCATAGAAGTCTCACACAACTGAGACAAATCATGAATCTGCTGTTGAAGATATTGCGACGTTTCATTTGCAGCCGAGTCATAATAGATCGTAGCTTTACCGTAGACTTGAGCCGCAGCGTAGTTCCACGTCGGCACAACCTTCCCGGTAGCCGGCTTGGTCTCGGTATAGAATTTCGGCGTCACGTAATGGTGATCCTGGGCCGTGAAAAGGATCATCACGTCTTGCTGGAGTTTTCCAGTAGGTGAATTGGCGCAGGCTTCCATCATGGCTTTGGAGTGGGGGTTTTGTCGGGCCATGTGGCCTCGTAGGAGTCCTTTGACGGGTGCCGAAGGGTCATCGTCGTAGATATCCAATACCCAGGGGATATGGCTGGATTGGAGGAATGGGTAGGATGGTGAGGAAATGGCGGTGGTGAGGACGCCTAGGGGGGGTTCCCTTGAATGAATTCGAAGAGAGCTTTGATTGAGTTCTCTACGTGGGCTGCGCGGAGATACATGGTGGTCTGCAAGTGTGAGAAGTAGCAGGAAAGGTATGTGGAAAGGTGTGTGGAAAGGTGCGCGTTATAGTTGCGAGTCAAGATCTTTGGCCTCTAATCTACTCTTTATATACCACCACGGCTGTTCCATTTACCCATCAGTGACTAGGCCAATCGCGGGGCTTTCGATTTGCTGTTCCTTTGTAATGCGGGATTTTCATTGGTTCGCCCCGCCGAAGTGATAGGGGGTTATATCAATTAGCCACGCCCTATGCCTGCGATCAAGTTTAGGTTATGGCTCATTTATGCAGATTTTGGCAAAACTAAACCATAGAAGGAAAAGAAGAGGAGATCTGAACAGTGGAGTCCAACGATGACTCTTTTGAGTGGACACAACTTAAGCCGGCCGAGAATATTGAGTTGATTGACCAATGAAATGGCGGGATAACCCCCCGGAATAGGAATTTGACGGGAGTGGGGCGAGAGGCGAGAAGAGCTCTACAACATGCTCTGAAATCCGAGTCGCTGCAGTACAAGAATCTGCTAAATAAAAGCTCTTCTCTCCATTTATGATTGAACACAAACAACCTCCTGAAAAGAAAGAAAGAAAGAAAGAAACAGACACACAACATGGCTCCCGTCAACAACGCCCATCCCTCAACCCAAGCGCTGCATGCCGATGACTACTTGAACTTGGTGACTGACGTCGCACCGCCAATTCATCTTTCCACAATCTTCAGATACCCTAATGACCCCAACCAACTTGCCATACCCGAGGACCCGATCGTATGTTCAAAGCAAACCCCCAGGGCTACTCCTATTCCATCGACTCCAGAGACTAACCCGATATATAGGCCGAGTTCGATGGCAAAAATTACGTATATTCCCGCGAATTCGCACCTAACGCAACTCGCTTCGAAGCCGTCCTTTCATCTCTTCTAAAGGGCCATGCTGTGAGCTATGGCAGCGGACTCGCAGCTCTCTATGCCGCTTTGACCCTGTTGAACCCACGGCGTATCTCCGTGGGCGACGGATACCACGGCAGTCATGAAGTTATCTCCGTCATTTCCCGGCTGTCAGGTCTTCAAAAGTTCGATCTCGACTGTCCCGCCGAAAACTTAGGAGAAGGAGATGTCATCCTTCTCGAAACACCCGTCAACCCGCTCGGAACCGCCTTCAGCATCGAAGAATATGCCAAGAAAGCACACTCTCGCGGCGCTTACCTGATTGTCGACAGCACATTTGGACCTCCGGGCCTCCAGGATCCGTTTTTATGGGGAGCTGATATCGTCTTCCACTCGGGCTCGAAATATTTCGGTGGTCATAGCGATATGTTATGCGGTGTTCTTGCTGTCAAGCGACAAGAGTGGTTGAAACGACTTTATGAGGACCGAGTGGCTCTAGGAAGCAACATTGGCAATCTTGAAGGTTGGATGGGTCTTCGCAGCTTGCGAACTTTAGAAGTTCGAGTTCAGCGTGCGAGCGAGAACTGCGCTAAACTGATTTCATGGCTTGATGCTGCCATGAAGACCCCGAACCCTGTCCAGGGCAGCGAGGAAGTTGTCGTTCAGGCTGTCCTCCAGAAAATCTATCATGCCAGTCTCCAAAATAAGCCGTGGTTGGCGAAGCAGATGCCTTGCGGGTTTGGGCCGGTGTTTTCGATTATCTTGCGTGATGAGACCTTTGCGAAAACCCTTCCTAGTAAACTGAACTTTTTTCAGCATGCCACGAGCCTGGGTGGGGTTGAGTCGCTCATTGAGTGGCGGGCACTGTCTGATTCGAAGGTTGATCGCAAGCTATTGCGAGTTAGTATTGGGCTGGAGAACTGGAAGGATTTGAAGGCCGATTTGTTGCAGGCATTCACCTCGCTGACAAGAGAATCATAATCTAGATGAGATCAGAAATTCAAGTGATAGTCATGAAAATGAGGTCATTATTCGTATATCGTATGTCATTAAAGCCAAAGCCAATCTCGATCCAAACTTCCCATGCTAAATATCCATTGTGACCGTGCATCTTCTGTAGAAGATTCCTTCTGCCAGTATTCCTGCAGCATCTTTGCAGCATTAACCGCATTCAAGCAATTGGTGATGTCCCAGAATTTCTCAATGCAATCGATGAGAAAGTCTCTTTCGGGCCTGCCATTGGCACTCCAAGCCAGCAACGAACATTGGCCACAAAATGCATTTGAAAATTTCGAGGTTGTCTTTCAGTGACTCTGTCACTCCGAGAAGCTCTGTGACCAGATGGTTTTGCTCAATCGACTCTTCAGTCAGGGCATCCACGATGCGTCCTGCGTATAGTAGAGCACCAAGTTTGTATGATTCGGATAAGTTACATAAGCCTATGATCTCTTGGGATGAAGAGTTCCGGGATCGCCGAAGATTTGTGGCCCAGGCGTAGCTGTCGAAACCTTTGATGGTTTCTATTAACGATGCTGTGTCCTTCAGGTAGGTGTTGGTGGAGATCTCATCAAGTGGCCTTTGAGCTTCAGCTAGGCTGTCCCTTTGCACAGAAAGCCGTTGAATTGCAGTCAGTATATACTCGGGGCATCCGAGGAAGGAGGCCTCGATTGCCTCTTGGTATTTCTCTTTTTGGTGGTCGAAGGATGAGTTTTGAGATAACAATTTAGGGCGCAGGAATGCCCCCCCAAGTGTCTCAATACTGCCAACAGTTACAAGGTCAACAAAGTTCAAAGTTAACTTCCTTCATTTACCTAGGATAAACTCACAAGTAAATTTGTTTGATGATGAAGCCTCGAATTTCTTCGATTGTTTGTCCATTCCCCTGATTAGTACTTGTCTCCGAATCGGGATGCGAGAAAGTAGACGCGATTAGATTTTTGGCCCCCTGCAGATGAAAATTCCAGCCATCACTGCCGGATTCGAGAAGATCTAGAAAGATCAAGAGGAAGATACTGGCAACGGTCGTGTCTTTTTTGCTCAACTGTGTGTCGCGTAGAGACTGCGACAATGCCTCCATCGCTTGATGTTTAAATGAGAGGGCATCCTGGTTCGCATTGGCAAGCTGTAATGAGGAAGATGCCGGCAATTCAGTTTGATGGAATGAGTGGCCGGTGTTGACATGGTGACGGGCCGCAAGCGCAAGAAGAGCTTTCATTAAAACCGGATCTTGATAACCCATAGGAATCAGACTTCTTAATGGATTCCGGTCGCTGTCATATAAAATAAAAATTTTGCATATTCGTTCATTAACTGTAGGGTTTAAGGTCAGTTTGTGAAATTTTTGAGCGGGACTCCATGCTTACTTACAATAGTCAATATAGTACTGGGATTTGCGATCCAAATGTAAAGTTGAAGGGTCGTGAAGAACGATAGGCAAGGATGCCGTATCGAAGATAGTATGGTCTGGTTTCAAAGTTAGTAAGGCTAGTGATAAATCGGAGCCTTGTCCCGCCTTTCCCTCAGGATGAACAGACCTTCCGCTTTCCGGGGCCCCTTCGAGTGGCATTAGATTTCATCACCACCCGTTTCCCAGCAGCAGTGGCCGCTGCCTCTTTGTTGGCGTCGTACGATCGGCCCTGCATTCGCCCGCGGATAGCCACGCCTTGAACCCATCGGAATGGCCGTTTGTCAAGGCATTCCAGGCCAGCCTTCTGGCATTTCGCGCACGGCACCCCGGTCTGGTCACATTGAATGCGACGATTCCGACAGGTGTAGCACGGGCCGCTGGATTCCGGATCCATTGCGAGGCTCGTTGAAGAGGTGTGGCGAGATACTTTACCTTGATGAAGCCTAAGGTGGGCGGTCGTCTGCTGACTAATATCGGAACTACAGCCCCAGACCATGAGACCGATAGGGCTGCCTGTAAAAAGTGTCGCCTCATCTTATTGGTATCGGCTGAATTATGACTGGCAAATACTCCAAAAAAGCTGGCCCAGGGGGCATAGTTATGGTGCGGTCTTTTTTTTAGATTCTTCGCCTCGTTGTTTGCTTGCACCGGGAATTCTTGCATCGAACGACTTTCGACCAATACCTTCTTTGTGTTGAGAATTAGCTGGGTATACATATGCCTCCATGTATTCACAAGAACCTGATTCAATCAGTGTTGGATTTTAAATCTCGAATTTCTTCCTCGTGTTTCTTTTTTTCTCTCCCTGGTTTCAATGCAAACAGGACTCGATATCGCCAACATTGACCACTTGAAAAAACCAACCCAATCCTCCGCAATAAAATTGCAAAAATAACATTGTAGAAAACTCACAAAAATTATTGGCATGGACTGTTGAATTGATTCGATTCCCATCAATACCCCCCCTGGTGAGCAACACTTATCGAGTCTCGGGGCGGAGAGGAAATTGAGCTGGAAACATCGCCCACAAGGCCTTTAGAAGACCAGGAAACCACGTTATTATTCCAAAAAAATATATTCTCCCTATTCTACTCTACAAAGGTGGGAGCAAAGAGTGATTGGCTGTCGATGGCATTATAATTGCTAAAACCGAGGAGTAGTATCGGTAAAATGAGGCCTGTGCACCAGGAACAGCCGGGGCATTGACTCGGGATACTTGATTGGATAGAGACGAGCGAGCAAGCATAATGAGATCCAATGAGCAGTTGTAGTGGGGGTCAGCCTGATCTCCATACATCTATGTAGTACACAAATTGAAAGCACTGCCTTGGGTCCAGATCGCTTAAGCCGACATCGGCTGGCCGGCCAAGTAGGCAGGACACGCATGTCCCTACCCAAGAAAAAACGAAGAAGGAGAAAGAGAGTAAAATTAGCTCGCGAATCAACAAGGTTCCTATGGAGTACGAGGCTACTACTATGGAGTCCTGCACGAAGAAAATAGGATGCCGGGGCCGATGGAGACTGTCAGAATGCACAGCTACGATCAAACGAGCCCTGATTGGTCGACCCACTCAGGCAATTCCGCTCTGTGGTTGGTCCGCTCGGTTTATGACATCATGGGAAGTAGACTAAAAAGACGCTATTCCACTTTGGGGAAGATATCAGGTTCTTAGTTTGGTTGGCATGGATGGGAGTGTGCTGATGGTGTTTCACTTTGCTCGGTTCCTATCTTTGGATTGTGCGTGAATGGGATGGGTCCGATGGTTGGAAATTAGTATTTTGGCCCAACGAGGGGATTCCTTATATTTATCTTGTCTGCCGCACTTTGGCTGTGTCTCTTTTTCCTAGTAAACAACCTTGTGAATTTCCACCATACACTATACATCTTATACCTTCCTAGGTTGACTTTCCCTGGCCTACTCTCTCTCATTTGAGATTTTTCATTATCGACTTAACATGAGTCGTGAGTTTACACTCTTGAGGCTAGATCAAATGGCCTTCTCTTCGAGACGCGTATCATAACTCAACTAACCTTCATAACTCTCAGCTATTATCCCCCGCGATTCAATCTTCAAAATGGAGACCACCACTTCCCTCTTCAAGCGTGACGGTGCAAGCCAATATTCCCTCTACGTCTTTGTTATCATTGTTGGATGCATAGCTTTTGTACTTATTGGTTCCGGTATCTATCAAATGTACCACGGGGACGACGAAGAGAACGCCTATGACCTACCCTACGAGCAAAGGAAATACATGCGCGAAGTCCGACAACGAAACCTCAATGGCATGGCCCTTGCATGCAATAGACCAGACATGGTAATTCCTATTGCGGAATTGAATTACTGAGCCTGGGAATCGGGGCAATACAAGCTAAGCGGGAACGGGCGTTTGATAGAACTGAAAATGGCATAGCGATGGATGGCATGGCGATGGGCGTTATGATAATGGCTTCAAGTTTTGATCAACAATATTTTTCCCTTTGCATACTATGGAGCAGACAGTACAGACTGGCACAGTCGTCGTTTCATTCAATGAATGCAAAGTTACTATATTACGAATACCTCGTGGATAACGAAAGTGTTGTAGTAAATTTCCAAGGTTGATAGCGAATACCCTGTTAAATGAAGATATCATCAAAGCGTTGACTAGTTGCTGCCTGTGAACAATACCACCCAGCGATCAACATACTTTTTGTCTGTACCGCCGAAATGGGCGATTCCATTGATGGTCGGCTTGGCTTTCCTCCACTGGCTCGTCTCGCAGTTTATATTCTTCGCGATCATAGACAGGATACATCATTTGGGATACATTTATCAGACGCCTCTTGCAGCCTGAGGGGTCCTCGCGGGCTCTGTGGGCGGAGCTCTAATGATTGCATTGATCCTTGCGGCTCTAGTGCCGAAATATCCAGCTATCATTCCACTGTCGGGATGCTGTAATGCTATTATCGCAGCTGTATACCATCCATCACGGGTCCTACTCAGTGACAGGGCTCCAGCTCCGCAATTTGACCCTAATCTCTCGCATCGAAAGCTCAAATAGGGATTCATTGAGAAATCAGATGGTGCTGACGGTATCGGACACGGCACTTTCGCCGCTGACGAAGTGTCAGTTCTAATAAAAGGAGAATTGTACCCCAAATTCTGAGTAAACTAAACAAATTATATGCCATTGAGAAATGTTTAGAAATGCTTAGAAAGAATCACTTGGCGTCCTCAATATGTGATCAAGCCTTTAAGTTCATAGTATGGCCTCCCAAATGTCTCCAGTTTCAGGCTCCGTATATACTTCGTCTACAGGCCTTGTAACGTTAGTATTTAAAGAATATCCAACACCATATCTTTTTGGTAATTTCAATATTTAAATAGAATATATTAAAAATGAATGATTATTATCAATATGAGATGTTCAATATAGGTAGAGGACACAGGTTGAAAGAGATGATTTAGAATTCACACGGACTTTGCGTGGGAATCTCATCCTAGCAGTACATGCACCTAAGAGAAAAGAAGGACAAAGATGGTAACTGTACTAGTAAATTTTCAAAGCCCATTTTCCTATGTCCAACAAAGACCCCTCAAACTCGCTCGGTTTAAAAAACATTTCACCGGTCGTCGAATTAGGAACCCATATGAATAACCCAATGCATATATCAATAACGAGAAGTAATCGGACACCCAAGAAGCTAAAAAATATAAAAAAACAATCGCTGAGGAGCGAAAAAGGTATATAAGTCGTAAAAATAAAAAGATGATGTCAACGTGGACGTCGTCATGAGAGTAAAAGCGTTCGCGATCGAACGGATGTAGAAAGGTAACAATAGAGGGGGATTAGAAGTGAATATAATGTGCATGTCTTGCAGTCGGAGATTTCCCGACGCGGCGCCTGTGAACGGCTTCCAAGTCATCTATACGTTGGCAAGTCCGGTCCGCAGTAGCTACAGACCCGACTAGATCTGGTAGTTCATGACCATGGCAGCCACGGCACCGAAGAGCAGGCTAGCCATCGAGACAGTGGCGCTGGAAGCACCGTTGCCGGGAGCACCGGTGGAGGATGAAGCAGCCGCGACAGCTGTACCGGTAGCCGACGAACCAGCAACAATCTCAGCGGAACCAGTGAAGACATGAGGGCGGTAGGTGTAGCTCAACGAGGGGCTCGACTTGGGCAGCCTGGTGCTGCTAGAGGGAGTCACGGTGGAGGTAGGAGTGACAGTCGATGTCGAAGGCGAGGAGGGAGTAGGGGTGGAGGTCGAGGTGGAGATGGAGGTGGTGCTGGTGGTAGTGGGGGTAGGAGTAGAGGTGGAGGTAGGGGTAGGGGTCTCCGTGGTTGAGGTAGTGGTAGGAGTCGGGGTAGGAGTGCTGGTGCTGGTGCTGGTCGAGGTCGAGGTAGCGGAGCTAGTCGAGATGGAGACAGTCTCAGAGCTGGAGCTGTCGCTGCCGCTGTCGCTTCCATCAACATCCCAGACGACGATGTGAGCGGTAGAGCCCTTGGGCACGGTAACAGTACAGCCGGTAGCACCACCGGCACCAGTCATGATACTGGAGCCCTCCATGTGGTTGATGCTCATGGTGGAGGGATCGATCTTGCAAGGAAGACCATTGCAGCCGCCGCCCTCACACTCGATTTCGATACCGAAGGTTGGCTTGATGTTGCGGAAGGGAGTGGTGGGCTCCAGGTAGATAGGGTTCCAGCCGATCTTGACATAGGTGTCGCCGTTGGTGACGGTGTTGGCACCTGCAGTGTAAGGGGACCAGTTACCGACAGGGTTGGCGTTGGTACCCCAGACACAGCCCTCCTCGGCACTGATACCGGGGGCGTTGATGTAGTACTGGGCAGCGGTCTCGCACCAGTAGGACATGTCGGGAACAGCCAGGGTCTCGAGCTCTTCGATCAGAGTGGGGATAAGCATGGCCTCGTTACCGGGAAGGACGGTCTGGCAGAAGGAGACAGCCTTGCCGGCCTTGTTCTTGGCCTTGATAGCACCGGTACCATCCTGGCAGTAAGGCTTGTTGGGGAAGGGCTTCTCAATCTCGCCATCCTCGTTACAGTACAAACCACCGTTCTAGATATGACCTGTCAGCGGGGTGCCCTTGCATATGCATATATCCCTTGCAGAACATGACAGGTGAATGATCGACGCAACATACCATGGACATGGGGTAAGAGTAGGAAGTGGCCTTGGGATCCCACTGCATAGAGACCTGACCGGCAGGGCAGGCATACGGGCAGTAGTTGCCGGGCTTGCAAGGCTGGTTAGGGCTCATGGCCCAACCGGCGTTCTCCTCATTGGGAGTGACGGAGACGAGACCGGCGTTGGATGGGAACTGGCACTGGCCACCACGCTTCTCAACGGAAACATTCTCGGAGCGTCGGTGGAGGTGGGAGTGGCCGTGGCGGGCAGCTTCAGCGCTCGCAATGAGGGCGACGAGCGCAGCAGCGCGAGAGGGAGCGATGTTGAACTTCATGTCTGCGATCGGGGGCTTGTGTATCAAAAGAGCGAATGACTGGGGTTAACCGAGAATCGAAAATAAAGAATGTAAGATGGCCAGAGGCCTTGGACACAAGAAGCTCGCAGAGAATGGGGTCGAAGAGAAAGAAAGTCCAAAAGCTGGCAAAGACGACAAGAAAAGAGGCCCAGCACAGCCAGGGCCCTGGCCCCAGCGGCCACAGGGGAAGCGAACCGGTTTGGGGCGAAAGAGGGCCATCAGGAAAAGAGGGTCCAAAGGGTTGACCCTGAGTGGACTGGAGAGAGTTCCCCATCAGGAAGGCTGAGCGGCCCCCTGAAGGCGCTAGTTGACGAGCAACAGGAGACTATACCTGTAGATGTACTAGTGTTGGTGGATAGTTGAGGTTAGTGGGAGGTTAGTCTCAGGGGCAGAGCCACTTTTGGGTAGATGATAGCCAATCATGTGTGTTGCTTCCCCGGGGGTTCCTTTTCAGTGGGGACTTCCACTTTCCCACCCACACACTTTCACCACACCTACATCCACTTCCCTCGTTCTGTTTGCCTCTGCTTACATCTGCAATTGCATTCAATCATTGGGGAAATTCTATGCCTTGGACGGATTACTCTGTGCAGACTGCCGACACTGCGAAAAAGAAAGTGCGTGGATTGGTACGAGTAGTACTCCGCACTCCGTACTCGTACCCACACTATCAATCCTCCATATCCATACCCCTATCCCACTAGAACTTGCACATGAAATTTCGCCCACTGATCATCGCCCTCCTGACTCCGGCCCTGCTGGATTCTCCCGCCAATCCTAATCAAATCCACCGGCGTATCGAGGCCGTCGCGGTCTGGACCTGTTGATCATGATAGATATTTCGACCATACCCATGAATTCACCCAATCGCAGAGGGTCCCCCCCATGCCCTGTTACTCCATCGGGGCCGAATCTTGGTCAAAATCAGATGGGGCCACACGCACGGTACGGAGTACACACAAGGCTCTCGCGCAATAGTGGGCTGGATGCCGCCTTGCCAAGACCGTTGTCTTCTCTACGATAGCCGTTGAGTCGTGGATCTGGTCTTGCACAAAGCTTAGCACTCTCACTCTTTGCTGTCAAGCAAAATCATGTATCCTTTTCCTCTCGGGTCATTCAGTTTGCCTCAGCCTTGCCTTGACCGGTGTAGGTTTCATCCTGGCCAGGAATCGACCCTCAACCGTTGCAGCGGGAAAGGGGCGCATGGTAAAAGCCTTCCGCTCTTCGCCCAGAGAAGAGATCATGAAGCGGATCAATTGCATACAACGGTAGCATTCAATGAGGCCGTGACTGACGCTGAGACGATAGTGAGCGAAATGCACTTAATCATGACCTTCACATCTTGTTCGATCCATTGAAGAAAATTGTGGCATGGGTAATATATCTACCCATTTTAGTTCCCATGCTGCTCTCTAATTGACCAGGGTTGGGCAATATCGGGGCAATTTGAAGGCCAAATCGTGAGATTGACCCAAGCAAAGCATTTTCCGAGAACGCTGTATGAGTAAGTTCAAGCCAGAAATCATCTATGAGGATGAGGGATCATTTGAATGGTGCCAGCTGGTGCTGAAGAAGAAGAACCTCGGAACCCCATCCAATCGCTGTAGACGGTCAAAAACCCGAACACAGAACGCCAAGATGAAAACGACAGCCTCGTAATAGTGTACTCGAATGGGATAAGCGTGGCCGTTAGTCAGCGGTCGACTCATGAAGGTTGATCTGCACAGCCTCATCAGAATAATTCAATATCTTTGAAATGTCAGGCAACCACCATTCCGTATCGCGAATGTAAATCACTTCATCAACAATCTACCCAGGGAGAATTGAATAGACCTTCAAGTTGTTGAAGATACATCAACCAACCCCAATCATGGCCAATATATCAAGAACCTGCCAGAGTTGCGCAAGCTCGAAGGTTCGCTGTATTCGAAATGCAGCAAACCCGCACGTCTGTAACCGGTAGGCCATTCCAATATCGGCTCGCGGTGGTATCGACGTAGGATTGATGGTTCTATAGATGCCTCCGTCTCGGTCGGCAATGTCTTTATCGGCAAACAGGACGCCGATTCCATGGCTTTCAAAAGGACCGGTATGCTTATTTCGTGATATAGTTGTCACTGGATAATGGCTTATTGGCACGTAGGAAGATCGAGGCTCTTGAGGCTCAAGTCCAGGAGCTATTGACCGATCGTGCCACGTCAGCAGACACCTCCCAAGTTCCATCAGAAGAAGAGGTCATTTCACGAGGTGCCTCGGTCGCCTCGGATGACGGTGAAAAGGATGTCGTAGATCGAGGATACCTCAGCGTCGAGACAGCGCAGACTTATTTGATCGTCTTTCAGACCGTGATGACTCCGCATTTCCCTTTCGTGATCATCCCGCCAGATGTATCGGTGCACCACCTGCGCCTGGACAAACCATTCTTGTTCCTGGCCATTCTTGCTGCTGCTTCCTATGAAAATATGCCGCTGCAGCGATCTCTCGGAGCCGAAGTCAAAAAAGCCGTTTCTGCTCGCATGATCCTAAATGGAGAGGTCTCATTTGACATGTTGCAAGGGCTGTTGGTGTACTTGGCATGGTAAATACAATGCAGCTTTTCGTTAAGTTAAGTGTCATGCATCAAGTCAGCTCTAACAGCATGGCAGGTCCCATTACCATACAAAGCCACATCGCTACACACAGTATCTCCAATTGGCGATAAGTGTCGCTATCGATCTACGGCTGGACCGAGCACCACAGGGTAAAACATGGAAAACGAAACTCCAGTTTCGAGCCGACGAGCCTACAAATCAATCTACTTATGACCTGCCATTACGGAGCAATGATGAAAGGAGAGCTGTCATAGGATGTTTCTTCCTTTCATCTTCGTAAGCTGAATCGATATTAAATTGTACCTCTCTGGAGACTAACGATATCTTAGGATCGCCGTTCTCCTTCAAAAACATTCCTCTTTCCCTTACATTCCATACATTGAAGATTGCAGTCAGTTTCTTTTCAACGCGAACGAATATCCTCACGATCGATACGTAATGCACATTGTGCAGTTACAGCATATTGCGGAGAAAATAGACCGACTGTCCGCAGATCATGGAGACGAACTATCCAGACCAGGATCTGGAGCAGAGCTCTACGTGAAGGGTGTGAAAGACGACTTATCAACCTTCCAAAAACGATTAGCGTTCAATATTTATGACTCTCGTGAGTGATTTCCATGATACGCAGTGTACTATTTCTCCGAACTCCCAACTAATATAGATTTCGGCAGCCCTTCTTGCACTTCACTTTCAATCAACCAGTCTCTGTCTCTACCAACTAGCCCTCAGCTTGGCAAATCAACAACCCCGTTCGGCATTTCAAGCTGCCCTTTCTCAATCCTGGCGCGACGAATTATCGAACGCTGCCGTCAATGCGGTAGAATCAATTCATAGTCTCTACCTTTCGCTCCCGCCAGCATCAGAACTTGGCTTTACCAACGCGGAATGGGTACAGATAGGCTTCGCCATGCTCATCGGATACCGCATCACGGCCGAATCTCTAATCCCTGAAAGAAAAGAGGCATATCTTCAAACCCTAGCTTCGCTTCGGCAGCGTGTTGGAGCCTTGTCAACGCCCAATGTCGACCACAATGGGGATCGGGATGTCTTTGTGGATTTTCGAAAGCGGATCGTTCAGATACAGACTCGACTTGATGGGGGTCAAAAGCATGATACGCCCAGTAGTGACTTCCACTTTGAGGGTCCCATCGACGGAACTCAATTTGTTGAACCGGTATTCACGCTTCAAGATGCCGATTCGGGAGAGTGGACTGACTTGCCACAAGGCATGCTTGGGTTTACGGAGGATAGTGGGTTGCCAGACGATTTTCTTCTCACTACTTCTGTTGAGCAAGTTATGAGTAATTGGCTATAATTGAGAAATGAGAAAATGAGACTTTAAAGAGGAATCAATTATGGTTTGCTATGGTACAAACTTAAGGCAATCAAAACCCCCAGATTCCATATTCAAAAATCGGGTTCGAGTCCGAATCTGAGTGGACCCGTCTACAGTTTACGCCAAGCTCATGCTGAAAAGGTGGCAGTGTTGGGGGCCTTTTATTTCCATGTCCGATCCGCGCGAGTGAGGCTGTGGCAGCAGGCTGTCAGCGAACAACGATCACCGAGCCGACCCACACAGCGCTTCGACAAGAACGATGTATAAAATGTATGAAATGAACTCAACAACAAGAAGAACAATCCGTGTCTACCAATTTATTTGTTTCCCAAGTCGAAGATGTTTTCCTCGCCCGTCCGTTTTGCTTCTCTCTTTCTCTTGTTTACTTCGGCACTGTCGGAGTTCACTCCCTGCCCACTACTGGGCCCTTTTTACCCTCCTTTCAAGGTCGATTTAAATGACAAGGCAATTGAAAGTTCCCTCAAACATCTTACTGCTAAATTTGATGATCTGATGCGCACTGGTGACGGCGAAAATGGACCTGTCAATATCAACACTACCTCCTTTAGCATTGCAGTGTTCTCTACCAATGAAGGAACCGCCGAGGATGAGCCTTTCTATTGGCAGTATCACTACACTGCTCCTGATTATAGGAATGGTCCTGATAAGCCCCGAAATGCCTCCAAAGACAGTATATATCGCATCGGTGGCCTGACTGAGCTTTTCACTGTTTGGAGCCTCCTCAGGACTCTGGGAGATGGTATCTTCAATGATCCCGTCACCAAGTACCTCCCTGAGCTCTCCAATGATTCATCCACCCATACATCTATTCTTCAGACTATATGGAGCGACATTACTGTCGGTCAGCTTGCCAGCCACATGGGCGGTATTCCCCGAGATTGTGAGTTTGCCTTCGGAAATTCTCCCTATTTTTATATATAGATGACTGTTAACCCACTGTGTATAGATTGTTCCGACGACTTAACCTCTGAAGCGGATATTTTCAAGGCGGGACTCCCAATACACTCGAATTTTGACCGGCCTTGCTGTAGCTCTAACTCTAAATGCAGTCAAAAAGGTAAAGTACTATATGTATCTTAGCCTCCGCATGCTTTCTAGTGGCTAATTCAGCTAATTCATATAGACTTTCTCCACCAGCTGTCTAAGCAGGCTCCTATCGCCAATCCCGGTCAAACACCCATATATTCGAACATGGCCTTCCAGCTTCTGGGGTACATAATTGAGCGACGGACCGGTCAAAGTTTCAAGCGTGTCCTCAAGCACCAGATCCTCGACCCTCTCGAGCTGAACGACACATCCGTATTCGCTCCCCTGGATACCCAGAATGCTGTCATCCCCGTCAATCAGAAAGCCAGTGGCTGGCTGGCCCATCTTCCCGGAACTGAAGCGTGAGTTATACCAAATTTCCTCCATCCAGGTCACCACCATAAGCTAACACATTGGAAAAACATAGATCGACTTCCATGTTTAGCAGTCTAGACAACCTCGCCCGTGTTGGCCAGGCTATCATGAAATCTACCCTTCTCACTACTTCTCAAACCAACCGCTGGCTAAAGCCTGCCACTCACACCGCGAATCCTGCCAATTCAATCGGATACCCATTCGTCATCTACAGCGGGGGCGATTACCCCAATACATCGCCAATGGTCGACGTATACACTATCCTCAGCAACGAAGGCTACCAAGAAAGCTTGTATAGCTCATACATGGGCCTAGTTCCGGACTGGGGTGTCGGCTATGCCATCCTCTCCGCAGACACCGAATCACCAGCCGATCTAAACGCACACGCGGATTACATGCAAGAAGCGCTGGGCGGCGTGCTCAACTCAGCAGTTACTCAGGCTGCTGAGAATTACTATGGCGTGTATACTAGCGCTGGTAGCTCTAACTCGTCTCTTTCCATTGACTATACGGAGAGAGTGGGATGGGGAATCTATATCGATGACTTTGTGAGCAATGGTCAAGATTACCGTGAGACTTTGTCGAAGATTCTTGGTGTCTCGAATGAGACTGATCTTAGTATTCGCCTTTATCCGACCCGTTTGAGTGAGGAGTACAAGGCTGGCTCGAAGCAGTCGTTCCGTGCTGTTTTGCAGGATATGACTGAATTGGCAGATAATGATACCCCGACTTGTGTTTCGTGGATGCATGTGGATAGGTACCAGTACAATGGCCATGGGCTGGATGAGTTCATCTTCACTCTGAATGCTGAGGGTAAGGTTGTTAGCGTCGAAGTCCCTGCACTGGAAGTGACTCTAGAGAAGCAGAAGGAGAAGGAGAAATAGAAGTGTTGGCCTCGTGTTCTCATGCCGTACCATAGCCTCTTTTGTTTATGTTCATAATTTTCATTTCAAATGTACTGGTGAAGGATACTTCAGACATCAATTGAATCAATTGTCCGACTGAGCCTTGAGTGTAGTCCAACCTTGAAAAACCGAAGCATCGCTCCCATCTCTCCACCCCCAAGCAATACAATAATGACGAGCAAGAAGTTGCCATTCTTCCATCTCATCCAGCATTTCCAGTCCCGCAACCCGCTCCTTTTCCTCTTCATACACCCAGTTCTTCCAGATGAATTCGATATCTGCACCCGCCTGTCCGTCCCCGAATCCTTGTTCCTTCAATCGACACCGCTGCGCCTCCAGCGATGCATATTTGTGCAAAGTTTGGAGCTGGATGCCCCGCGTCGCGAGATTCGAGACCATTGTTCGGCCAAAAGCATCGTCGGGACGAATGGGTTCGTACAAGACCAGACCTAGCGGGATGGTGGGTTGGGATTCGGATTGGAATAGATGTTCGGTGAAGAATTTGACTACTTGCTCTGCCTCGCTCGGAGTGAGATAGATCAGACAGCATTCGGATACCAGTAGCGTGGGCAGTTCTCTCTCCACACCGGGAAGTATGGTGGAGAGGTCACGGTCACTGTTCACCGAAAGCGAACGTAGATCGACCGGGTGAATATGGTATGAAGGAGAATGCAACGCATCACCCATTTCAGAGATAGACACTTCAGCATCAGGCGTGTTAATTCCTAGCGCCTGTTGTAATTGCGGGGTTGATCGGATCGCCTGGATCTTTGAGGTAGTATTAACGGCGAAATCGATTTCATGGTAGACGAGATCGGAGGGTTGGCGCGAGGAGAGAATTCGAAAGACTCGCGTGTCGGAGCCGGCTCCTAACGAGATGATCTGTTTACGCTTCGCTTGAGTTTGTTCGGGTGTATAGAGGCCTAGGAAGCTTGTGACAAGCTGGTCGATTGCTGTCGTGCGAACATATGTTCCTGAAAGAGAGAAGCGCGTTAGCTTTCAAGTTTATTTGGACCAAACCCCCACCTCTCTCCCCCTTCCCCCACCTTATTGCCTGCTGTCTTCTTTGGGTAGCGCAGAGACACTTGGACATACCTCTGTTGATAATTGGAAACCTTCTTGTCGCGGATCCCCGTGGAGTCAGTGCTGTCGCGTACGCGTCTGTAAGATAGCCCAAGTCAACGGCGCTCAGCCTGGAGACGCTGGCGTCATTGTCGGTGCCCTGCACGATGCGGTCTTTGCCTGATGGGCGCGACTCTGGACCATTGTCAGTCGAACGGCCGATTCCACGACCGCGACCTCGGCCTCGTCGAAGAGAGTTGAGGTTAGGAATCTGGGGGGCGGCCATGAAGGAGGGGGCAGAGAAGGGAAAGAAAGTTGAAGGTGGAGGAAGCTTGGGGGAGCTTTGGGAGGAGCTCGGACGCGGTGGGGAACCCCGCGGAACGAATTGGGCCAGGAATGTACTACTACTAGTACTACTACTACCAGTATACTCTCGAATTTATCTATTCTTACGGATCACAACAAATTAAAATAGAAATTGTATTAAAATAGCAATTTATCTGGATCGTTAATTACATGCTAGGGTCCCTTTCCTGGTCCAATGGAACTGCAGATTGTACTAGTAGACTTGAAGCAAACGATCATTATATGACGATCAGCTTACTATAAACCTATATTTTAGATGATATAGAGGAAGTGATCACTATATTCATGGTACTACTGGTAATATATTACCTGTGAGTAGCAGAAAAAAGCGAATGTAACTTTGCATTGCACATGGCATGCATTTGAACAAGCCAGGTTCAATTCAACTAGCTGTAGGCCCTCTTCGATCGATAGGCCCTCTTTGCAAGCGATCTGCTTAGTCAAACGAGTGCGCTTTTAACGTTTCTTTTTATTCGCTGCGCGAAGGTTCGTATTATCCTGCGCTAGTAATACAGCACTATATAACGATAGATAGGCGCCCTTGATAATCTGATTTACTATACTGTTGATTAGGCTCGGAGAGATATTTGACCGTTGGTATAGTAGATCCTTCAGTAAGGAAGCTTGCTTTTGTAGCTGAACAACGGTTCTAGGTATTTTTAGTGTAAATTAGCTTAATCTGCTACTTAGTCGGCTTAATAGTAGTGAAGGTATTCGGAGAGAGATATTAAGCTCAGAAAGCACTCTATTAGTATTAACTGATACGATACCAGTAGCTACAAAGCTGTTTTAAACGATACTTAGCTGAAAAGCTTCGATCCTTACGTATAGATAGTCTACAAGAAAATCAAGCTTATCGATATAATTATAGCCAGTACGGACTAAATTACTTACAAAGCGACCGTAGGCACGTTTAGCACTGTAAAGCACCCAAAATTAAGCGGTTAAAGTAAGTAAGACGAATATAAAGGTGTACAGAGTAGTATAATATTATTTTCAGCACAGATTCGATCGAATTAAGGTGTAAGATAGCTACCGTACCCGTTAAGAATCAACAGCCGAAATCGCCCTTATACACGCAAATTAGTATATAGAATAAAGATCTTTTAGAGCCAGCGAAGGCCGATTTCATCGGTAGTCTAGCTATTATTCGATACTTTGATTCGCTAATCCCTAGGGAGATTTAATTCAAACCAACCAGCAATATAAACCTAGCCTTTGAAT